TGGTGAGTTTTTTAAAATCCAATGTGTGGATCACATAATATTTCAAAAATTTTAACTTTTGAGTATAGATGATCCGCTAACAACGCTATTTTTTTAAAAGGTAGGACAGAAAGTGACTTCTATACTTTTAAAATTTGCACAAAAAATTTAGGAGCCAACTATGTTCATAGTAACATATTATAATAAATTATTATTGGCTATAACGAATTCTCTTTATAACGAGCATTTTTTTCTGTTATAAAAAGAGTGAACTGTACAAATAAACATAGCACAATCGTGCTGTTCTTTGTAGTTTCAAATGTATTTCAGTAATTACACCATCATCAACTTTGAGTGCCATTAATGTTCAAGAGATGCAGATATTGTTGTAATTTGTGCTGACATATTACTTAATGATAATATATTTTCGTGTGTCTAACAATTTATAACGGTTCCTTGTTTAAACAGAATCCCAAAGTACACCTTTTTATTTTACCGCAGTTAGTGTCATGGTAGCACGTGAATCATATACAAAGATTGGGATTATTTTTTAGGTGACTGTTGATCAGCACAACCAATAAAGAATTTTAATTAATTTTGAATTATTTTAATTATTAAAAAAGAAAATGGACAGAGCAGTTAAAGGAGCAACTAAATCTAAATGTGCAGCACCTAAACAAAAGTATCTTGAGGGTAAAGTTCTTCATCTTTTGAACATTAATTATTTAAATTCGCTATAATCATATTATATATTGATATTTAAATACTCCTTCATGTAGTTCTCATACCAGCAACTACAAGAGTTGATAACTTGGAAACAATATTCATTTCATTAGATCATCGTTTAAGAGAAAATTCCTGGACAGTATGTGTTTCAATATAATAGTACAATAAAATAAAAATTGTTAATTGTTAGTTGCTTAATTACTGATTGATTATTTTTTTTGAAAAAAGATTGTATTTAAAAGCCTTATTGTAATTCATATTTTAATGAGGAGAGGAGCTGGGGATCAAGTTTTAAATTATTTAGTTAGAAGACCAAGTATTTTAAATGTTTCAGGGTTTAGAGATAAGTCAGGAACAGGCAATGGTATAACAATTTATTAATTATTACTGGAAATTAATATTCTTCAAATTCAATTAATATCAATTAATATTGCAATAATAATAATATAAAGGATCAGAACAAACTAAAAATATTCATTCATATGCTGCATACTTGGAAGAAAAGGTTTCAGTATACCGAGAGTTAAAAATAGATTTTGTTAAAGAAAAGAAATCAGATAATAGAAATCATTTAAGGAAACTTACAGTTGCCAAAGGTCTTTTGCGGGTAGTGAAATTTCTTCAGCAACAACTAGATGCTCTATTAAATTGTAAGGTAGATATGTGTGTGTAATATGTAATTTATATGATTAATATATTTGCTTATCAATTTATTTGTTTATTTTAATTAGTTTTTTCTGGATGAAGTTGATAATAATGTGACATTGACAGCATTCAAACTTATTGTCACTGATTTACTTTCAGTTTTTGAGACAATTAATGAAGGTGTTATTAATGTATTAGGTGTGTAATAAGTTTGATTAATTTTGTTGTTTGTTTTATTGGTTTATGTAGAAAGCTTTTGATAACAATTATTAATCCCACATATTTTCTACACACATATATAGATCAATTTATTAGTATGTCACAAATAGACGCAAGAGATGGATTAGAAATTTATAAAAAGTTTGTGAAACAAACTGAAAAGGTTGTCAGTTATCTAAAAGATGCTCAAAAATTAGAATTCGCACTTGGATTCAGCATACCCAACTTGAAACATGTAAGTTATTATATATGAATGTGTGTGTGTGTGTATGTACGACAACATGTTTATACATATATGCATTTAAATTTAAATTTATTTTCTGTAATTTTTTTTTTTTATTATATTAGGCGCCAGTTTCATTGACAATTGCATTGCAAGATTATGCTGAAGATCCAAAATTTGAAGCAAATAGGCGAGAATATGAGCGTATGCAAAAAGAAAAAGGTAATAAGAATAAATCTTCTCCAACAAAATCTACAACAAAATCCACCTCTACTATCTCTTCCATCAATAATGATGGTAATATAATACCTTCAAGCAAAAAGGATACAACATCAACAACTACTACTACTTCGAAAACTTCTTCTGCTAACAATAACCAAATAGAGTTTATAAATTTTTCTTCTGATATTGGAAATGAACAAACCTTACGTTTTGATAATCAATCCATCGATAATAATAATTCGTTAGGAAGACATAATACTATTATCTCTACTACTACCACTACAGCTACAAATCCATTCTTAAATACACAAAATCCATTGGTTTTACAACAACAACATTCTCCTATTTTTAATCAACAACAATTAATTTTAAATCATATCTCTGTAACTCCGTCATCATTATCACCTGCTACATCTGATACAAATCCATTCCGTGCTTCAATGTTGTTTCAGGATCAACAACAAATACAACAGCAAACAACAGCAACAAATTTTTCACCTCATAATCCTTTTGGACAACTTTCTCCTACTTCTTATTCCACGCTTACTTCTAATACTAATGATAATATAATTACTGGTATTAATAATAGCAATCCATTTGCTTCATTAGCGCAACAACAAAATTTACTAGTTTCACCTAATATCCATCAACCGTCAACATCATTATCATTAATGTCACCATCATCAACATTCCCATCATTATTGTTATCATCACATTCATCAGATAATAATCCATTTAGAAAATCAATTTTTTCTCAAAATGACAAAGCAACAACACCAACAAATTTTAACATAAATTCTTTAAACACATCATCGTCACCTGATCCTCAATTTTCTTCAAATCATCAACTCTTACTTTAATCAATCAAATTAATTGATTGATGAAATGACAATAAAGTAAAATTTTTCTTATCATTTATATTATTTATATTAATAACATCTATTTATTAATCTAATAAATAATCTAATGAATATCATTTTTTACATTAAAAAATAAACATTAAATAATGTATAGACAAAATTAATAAAATTAGATTATATTAAAAAAATATTTTATATAAAATATTTATATAGTAAAAAATAAATAAAAATAAAAATAGTAATGGACAAAAAATCTAAATGTTGCGTTATTTGTTAATTAATTAACAATAATTTATAAACTCTCAAAATAACCCACGACTCAATTCAATACCTTCCATTTATTATTCTGATTCCATCATCCATTCATCAACCTAAAAATAAAATAAATAATAATAATAATAATAATAATAATAATAATAATAAATATCTTAAATAATCCTATACAGTTTAATATTTATTATATACAAAATGAACAAATTTATAGATTAACTATAATTGTTGTTATTCTAAAACCATAAACAAATTAAAAAAAAAAATAAAGAATTAATTAATTCATTCATAATAAAAATACATATGTATAAATATAAATATATATTATAACTACTTCACCACCATTAATAAATTAGCCAATTAAGGTGACAAAAAATCATTTAAATCAATTCTTTATCTTCAAATTAACTTCTACTTATCAACCAATCACAATCTACATTCTAAATTATTTTAATAATTTCTGGAGTTTGCAGTTATAACTTGATCAACAATAGCCTTCAATTTTGGTGGTTGATTTTCTGATCTTTGTCTTGAATGTAAAATACCATTTATATTATTATTATTATATTCCATCTCATTTAAAATAGTTAGCCAAGAAGATCCACCCTCTTTACGTAACTCTTCAATCTTCTTTCTATACTCTATTGCTTCACCGATTGTAGGTGATGAAATGGTTTCTGAATCACTATGTGGTGATGATAATGGTGATGTTGGTGTTTTTTTTGTTGATGATAAATCTGGCGTGGTGTTTTGACGTTTATTCGCTGATCTTCTTTTATGTGATTTGGAGTTATCAGCTGCTATTGCCTTTTCAATTTCAACAGCTCGATGTTTTGGTAATGGTGCTTTTGCTGTAATCTCTTCGGAGGTTTTTTTCTTTTTCTTATTTTTGTTTGATTTTGTTCTACTTAAGATAGGCGAATCAAACAAAACTTCTGCAACATCACTATTATCACTATTCTTATTTTGGTTATCTCCATCCAAGTCAACAACTCTTTTATGAAATTTCTGACTTTTTTTATGTCTTATAACTGGCAAATTATTATTACGTTGCTGATGTTGTTCATCATTTGAACTATTGGGACTGGACAGAGGATTTTCATTGCTTAGAATGGCAAAAGGGAATTTTTGATTTGATGGTGAATTTGCATTTGATGGGAGAGATCTTCTTTCAATATAAGTAGGTGCTGTTCCATCCAAAATAATATCTTTATTGTTTTCTTTAAATGCTTTAAAAATATTAATCCTGTAATTAGTCTCATATCTTGTGAATGGATTACCATCAACGTAAATTTGCTTCATCTCAGGCAGTTCAGTCATTCGAGTAGCTTCAGCCCAATCGGTCAATTGATTTTCTCTAACGTCAACATATTCCAGTGAATATAATCTTTCCAAACCACACAAATTCTCTATTCTATTGTTTCTCAGATCCAATTTCGTCACATTTCCAAGTATTTTGTAAATACCTGTTATTGTTTCAATCATGTTATTACTAAGATTCAAATATTGTAAATTATACAGCTGTGACAATCCAGATGGAATTGCAATCAGCAGATTGTTTGATAGATCAATATGTGTACATTTTGCAATGTAGATAAGTGGTTCATTGGGAATAAACGTCAGTGCATTATCTGATAAATTAACTTGTCGAAGATTTTTCCAAATTTTCAATGGTGCAACTACATCATCATCATGATCATTGTTTTTTTTTTTAATGACAGTTTTACGATTAATAGAAATTTCTTTACCATCATCGCCGTTTTCTTCAGCGCTACCATTACCACCATCGTCTTCTTCTTCTTTTTCTTCTTCTTCTTCTGATGCTGATGTTGCTTTTATCTTTTTGGTTCTTTTTTTAAACCCATCAGCTACAAGATCAATAAATAATTCAGTAATATCATCAATTGAACTTTTAGTTAAAGTTAAAATTTCCAATTTCTCTTGTAGAATATCCCAACCATCAAAAGCTTTTGGCGACAATCCATTAATTTCTAAATATTTCAAATTTTTAAACAGGGTCATTGACAATATACCACCTAAAGGCCAATTAATGCCATCAACATTATCAACACTAACGCCAACATTGCCGTCATTATTGTCATTATTATTATTAGTACCAAAACCTTCAATTCCTTTATTGTTGATTGTTGAAGAAAGTTTTAAACTGGTGAGTTTAGTGAAACTTTTGTAGACGTAGTAAACCTCGTTTTTAATTGGTATATTCTCGTGTTTTTGAGCTGCATTAGACCAACCTTGCCAACCCGAGATTAAAGATAATGAAGACATGGCAGATGACATCGAATTCATTGAATTGTTTGAGGCAATTGAAGCAGTTTCCCATGATGAATCGTTAGCATCAAAATCTATGTCTTTATTATCAAAATTCATAATTGTCTCAAAAACACCAACGTCGAACCCTAGATCATGAAATCTTGCCAGTAAATAATATAAATGGTGAGGATCAAGTGTAACAAATCCAGTTTTTTTTGAAATATTATTGCTTGAAGGGCTGATGGGAGAAGTAGGGGTTGTTGAGGCAGTTGTGGTTGGAGATTTCATGTAAGAATTAGTAATAGCAGCAGAAATAGACCAGAAATTTGGTATACCGAAACTACTACCAAAACTACTTTCTGACTTTCTACTACCTAATAAATGACTCGAAGGATTTGTTGTGGACTGTTGTTGTGGGTTTTGTATAGTTATTTTTCGTTCGTTAATACGAATGAATTGAGCTAGTGTACGAATGAATTGATCACCAGTAACATTTGTTGTAGTATTATTGTTGCTCATTTTTGAAAAAATTTATTTTCTAAAATTTTTTTTTTTTTTTTCTGGTGAAAAGTAATTTTATATAAAGGGGAGCCTTGTGATATCAACTTTTGCAGATTAGTTACATATAAAAAATAGTTTCAATTTCCAAAAAATGATTATAAATTAATATAATTCTCAAACACTTATTAAAACTCGATATATCACAATATTTGTTTTTTATTTAATTGGATATAAATTATACATGAAATAATGTTATATAATATATATGAGAAATTAAATTAAGTGATTATTATTATTAATTAATAAATTAAAAATTATTATTTTAATTTTCTCCAACCATCTTTTACATAGCAATAAAGTTGATCCTATAAATAATATAAATCTTCTTCATTCTTATTGTTATCATTAACAATACCAAATTTCAATACTATACCTCCCGACTTCATTTTATGATGATTTACTTTGTAGGGTTGATTTCTTAGGGATCTTCATAGGTTCTTGGTTGTCCATCATTCAAACCACCATTATTACGAGTGAATATTCGCTTGATTGGTACGCTAACCTCACCAAATAATCTCTTGGTAACCTGTCTTGATCCCATACAGTTATTATAATACAAGTTGGTATGTTAAATTCTGATATTTTAAAATCAAATGTAGCGTCCCAAACTGGACTTAAATTTTTTTAATCACTGGAGTCTCATATTTTTTACTTTCTACTCTGATAACTGCGTACGGGTATGAGAATCCATTCTTTGTCACTATAAAAAAGATAGTCTTTTTTGAATGAACCGTAAATGTTGAGTGCAAATATTAAATTACATAATACTTACGTTGGTGCTAAATCTCTCGCAGCAAGAATTCCCACACGAAGTATTATTTCCATAATACAAATAAATTTATATTTATATATTTTATATTTATTTATACATATAAAATCCATAGAAAGTCATCACTGCTGCTGCTGCCGCTAGCTAGACATATCCTGCCACAGTTAAAATGGCAGCAGAGAGGTCAGCGAGTCCCCCTTATAAATGGATCAGACCTCTCTCCATAAGTGTTCGTGTGCAAAAAAAAAGTTCCTTATGTTATGGGAAGCATTAACATCTCGATTCCAATGTGTCAGACAGACTAATTTTGCAGACTCTGATAGACCAGAATTTTTGATGCTATCAGACCTTATGCAAAGTTTGCACACTTCAAGTGTAATTTAAAGCGCATTTTGACTATTATGGAAAGACATTTAAAACATTCTCGTTTCTTGCAAATTTAAGTAGAAAATAAGCATTTATTTTTCCATTTATTTTCTACTTACTTATTTCATACTTGAACTATACTTAAATGGCAATAATAATGATGATAATTAATAATCTGATTTTTTTGTGTGAAAATGACCCATTGTTTAACTATGGGAAGAAAGAAATATTAATACAATAATAAAAATAATAAATAATTAAATAATTACTTGCTTTTGATGATCATGTGCATAACAATAATAATGAACCCGTTTTGGAAAAAAGAAATATTAATACAATGTTATATATGAATTATATGTTATTAGTAATATATTATTACTTACCTTTGATGGTCGCGTGCATAATAACAGCAAACCATAATAATAAACCTGTTAATACAATGTTATACAATAAATTAATAATAATAATATATTATTACTATTACTTACCACGTAATAAGCCATAATAATAAATCAGTTATACTTTGGGTTGCATACGTAACAATAACAATAATAGTAAACCTCGTAAAGAATTATTATTAGTAATTGATGTATTAGTATTATTATTACCATTAAATGCTTTGAACAATAATCCAATCCCATTGTTTAATTGGTAGAACTGTTTTTTTGAAAAAAACAAATATTATATGATGTTATATACAATAAATTATTAGTAATAATATTATTCATTCATTATCTACTACTCCCCATTATATGTTTTTTGAAGTTACGCATTTTCTTTTAGTTAATGAATAGATGAATGAGTGAGCGAAATAAATTAAATCAACATTTCTAAATATATTACTCAAAGATCCATATGTTGTTTGTTCATAAGTCAACTGTTATTATATACTCTCTTTTGATTTTTTTAATAGTTTCAAGATGTAGTTTTCATTTTATGTAAACAAAAAAAAAATATTGGTTGTGTGACGTACCTGCAGATCAAATGGAAGTAATTTCAAAAAATATCATGGAGTTTTATAATAGGATTTTGCGTCCTGGTCTTCATCACCTTGTTGTGTAATTAAATAAATCATTGTTATTTAGTCATCTACATTTAAAGAATTATTAGGTATATTTTAAGTGTATAATCAGGATGTCTACATTCCTATTACTGTAAAAGATAAGAATGTTTTAATTGTAAAATAAGTATATTCATACATATTTTGCAAATAATTAATGAACCATCTTTTTTGATTTAAGTATGTTTTGTAGGAAATAAGTAGGAAATAGGTATCTAAACTTTTTGTAAGGCAAATTGATGTGACAGTTGTTCAATATGTAAGTTCCACTGTTCATAAGGAATCCTGTACTTAAATTGGAACCAGGTTGGGTGCATCTGGGTGACCCAGGCGGAAGAAAGATAATAATAAATTAGCCTATCCATAATATTTGTGGTTTTCTAAAATGCTAATTTATGATTCCTTTTGAACATAATATGTTTAAGTATCCATTATAACCAGTGTATGAAATTTGCCATAATGCAAATTTAGTTGTGCATGTTTTTGTTATTAAATAAATTTACTATTTTGCTGGTTTTTATATTGCACTATCTCCCCAACTGAATTCCATACACTGATTACAACTATGGTTCTTAAAGGGTTTTCAATGATTAATCTACTTGCAATGATGCTATCAATTTGATATCTCTTTTATTTTTATTAATTAACAATTAAGAGATTGTTGATTCTTTTTCATCAATTGTTTCTTATGTATGATTTTTGTTTCAAATTTATATTAACATATTATTCTTGATAATAGATAATTACTTAAATGAAATGATAACTCCAATTCAATCTGAAAGAATTTATGTTTATCAATGGTGGGAGAACAATCAAAACCCTTTTCCCATTTTTAGTAGAATTATGCATAAATACTTATTGATTCCTGCCACTTCTGTTCCATGCAAGTGTTTTTTTTCTTATGCAAGAAATTTTGTTACCTCTAAAAGAACATGTTTAGGGCATGAAGTAATGAATCAGTTATTGTTTGTAAAAAAAAATAATTTATATTGTAAAGTTTGGGACCAATAGATAAAAATTATTTTTATCTATTGATTGTGTAAATATTAAGCCCATAGATAGAAATGTAAACCACCTGGATGACCCGTGGGTTTGCCTGACAGGTGATTTGGGTAAGGTTTTTTTGGATGGGTCCAATCTCTACTTCAATTAATTTCTTTTTTCAATCATCTATTTCATGATTTTGATCTTCTAATTGATGTGATAGTTGTGATTTGTTCCAACATTCCAGTTCATGCATCTCTAACAAATTTTTTATTCATTGGAATTCTTTTATAGGAACAGATTCATTGTTGGCGAATTCTGTTTCAGTAAACTGGACAGTTGTGTCAGTATTAATGCTGGAAATACTAGAATATGTCTCTAATATATTGTGTCAATTTTGCATTTAAATTTGAGAGAGTTTCATAAAATTGATTAGTAGATGTAACTTGGTTATAATGTACCTCACAAACAGAATAAGAATTTAGAAACATGAATAAGTTCAGGGATATAGTTATGACAAGCTTGTAGTTTTTCAGCTGCTGCTTTACTACTAGCATAACACCATGTTTGATTGTTCTTTGTTGCACATGGTTTCAAGTCCTTATCTGTGTATAGATTGACTAAGTTGGCAAAAGTACATGGAAGATCTTTGGCTTGTGTCTTTTGGTATTCTGTCACTAATAATAAAATTATTATTATTATTATTATAAAAAAATTAAAAATTTTTTTTTGTGCTAAAGTGAGACCTTGAAACCATGGATGCAAACTTCCATCTTTAATGATTATCTAAAAGATTTAAATAATGAAATGATGAAACAGAATAGAAACATTTTACTATTATTAGATAATGCTCCTACCCATTCAATTTCTGAATCAATAAATTTAACTAACATAAGAGTCCACTTTTTACCACCAAATACAATAGCATTTTTGCAACCATGTTATTTATATAAAATTTAATATATCATTAAATATTTACAAATTTTTTACACATAATCCTACCCCAATTAATTTATTGTTAATTTAAAGCTGGCCTGCCACCTTTACTTAAAATAATTAAAAAGACATTTAAATAAATCCATCTAAATAATTAAAAAAAAAAGATAACATGCTAAAGGCAAAAATTTTCCCACTTGGCACCAAAAAGTATAAAATTCTGACACCACTCTTCCCATTTATCAGAATGTATAGCATTCTGAGAATTGGATGAAGTAGCTTGAGAATTTTTTGTTTTGTAATTTTTTTATTTTTATCTGATATTCCAATTGGGTGTTCCCATTCAATGAACTCCTCACACCTAAGCTTCCAAATTTTTTCAAAGAAAATTTCCTGGATTATATTTAACAATTCTAGAGCTGTTTTCCTCCCTTTGGATTTTGATTGTTTGATACATGTAAAACTATGTATTATATTTTTTGAAATTAAGCCTCTTGTGAAATTTTTCATAAAGGGTGTACAAGATGTGGGATTGTTGAAATAAGGATCTATTTCACAAATTATTGTTTGTATATCAACGTAATCATTATTACTACTATTTTTATTATTATGGTTATGGTTATTATCCAATAGCAACTGAATGAATTCAGATGTTTTTTTATTGATTGTTTTAACTGCATCTTTTGAATTCTCACAATACCATAAATGATCATAGTCTTCAGGAACTAAATTACACCTAGAACAATTTGTAAATTGCCCATATAAATCAGGTCTACATTTGTTTAAAATTTCTAGTACTGGTAGTTCATTATGTAACACTTTGATTTTGAAGGCTTTCCTTCTACTGTCTTTGAAAGATGTACTAGAAGAAAAACTGGTTCTTGAAGATAACCATTATAAAAAATTATTAATTCCCACAACTCAACATAAAAAATATGCAATTTTTCAGTTTTTTAGGTCACATGAAACATGAAGTTTTTACAATGTGAATGTAAACATTCAAATAATTATTACTTAATTATTTAAACAATGTTAATGAACAGGTAATTTAATTGTTGTTAAATTAAAAGTTATCTTTATTTAATTTGAATTTTACATCTTTAAATAATAAAAATACAATTCTTAAAGTATAAATATAAATCATAAGAAAATAAATAAATATATAATCTATATA